TTGTCACAGTTGAAAACGCGAACTGCAACTAGCTGTCGGGGTCGCGTGATACAGCTGCCCTAACCTCTTATTTAGGTAAAAAAATTATGCTTGATAGAGCCATCTATATATAGGTCATCATAATATGGAATAAAATTACTCGAGTGTGATTTGTCAGTAGCTGAGTACCTGAGACAGTTCCTGACCTGTACCTGAGACAGGACCTGAGACACTACCTGAGACAAGCATGAGGGAGAGGTGTCTTGGAAAAAAACATGAAAACATTTCATGTTTCATGCATAATAATTAAAGGAAATGTCCTGTTCATGTTTAGGAATTTTTATGGCGCATACGTGGAATTGTCCATAGATTATTTCATGGGTGGCAGGTTCCAGAGAATATACTGTTTATGTATCACCCATTAATTTTCATTTTGCAGGAGTTTCTTGGACGAAAACGGTTTCACTTTTGGTACATGAAAATTTATAATCATCATCATCATCATCAACAACAACATAATCGTCATCATCGTCGTCGTCGTCGTCCTCATCATCGTCATCAATTATAGTTGAGCGGCATATAGTACGAATATAATGAATATAATTTCATGCGTCCGCCTTCACCGCGTGAATAACGGCGACCTCCGTGTGGCGCCTACTGCTGCTGAATTGTCGCTGTCACCATCATTATACTAACACAGCGAAATAATTGAATCATAAAAGCGCAGCAGCAGCTCGCCTCGGCGTCAACGTGCGTGCGTGCTTGTGCGTGTGTGCGCGTGCGTGTGGGGGGAGTGTGTGTGTGGGGGGGGGTGTGTGTGCGTGCGTGCGCGCGTGTGTATGTGTGTGCGTGCGTGCGTGCGTACGTGTGCGTGAGCGCGCGTACGTGCGTGCGTGCGTGACATGCGCGCGTGTGTGTGCGCGTGCGTGCGCGCGCGCGTATGTGACATGCGCGCGTGAGCGGAGCCGCGCATGACTCAGTCATCCGTGCGCACGGAAGCAGAGAGCAGCGTAGTCGCGCAGTGAGCGCGCGTGTTGGAGACAGACAGCGCATTCTGCCATCCATTGAGTGAGTGTGGGACAGAGCGCAGGCAGCTGCAGTGTGGTGCAGTGTGGATGCCGGTATAGCCATGTGGACGCAGAACGGTAAGCGCTTATTACTGGTTCGCTATCGTAGAGCTTCATATGATGATCACGGATAGTAAGATCAGGAGTGAATAATAATAGATTATTTGTTATTCTATTATTATTCACTCCGAGTAAGATATATCGACACAGTGACAGTGAGCAAGATGTGCAAATGGGTTTAGTGGCAGTAATCCTTCCTCTCCTCTTCCTCTGTCTCCTCATCCTTCCTCTCCTCTTCCTCTGTCTCCTCATCCTTCCTCCTTCACGTCCTTTACGCATCACCGAGCTACCGATATATCTATTGATATCAAGAGTGTATAATATAGATTCTGTATTAGTCTATAAAGTCTATATGGTCTATATAGTGTATGTATAGTCTGTGTAGTCTATATTATACACTTCTGTTGATATCAGTTATTATATAATTATATCAATATATCTATTGATATCTGCAGGAGTGTAATAATATAGACAGAGTCTATATTATACACTTCTGTTGATATCAGTTATTATATAATTATATCAAT